ATTTAAGCCCAAAAGCTGGTAGTAATTTACAACAATTTGCAATTTAGAAGGTATGCACGTACGCATGTGCTTGTGCATGCACACAAGCCAGAAAAGTCAGCAAGTCTCTTTTAGGGAAATTTAAAGAATCCCACCGCAGCCTTCTGGACCAAGTTCTTAACGGCCAAAATCAGGTATTTGTCGGCTAATCCTAATGAAAGCCTCCGGCAAAAGACTTCATGCAGGCAGGTGTTTTTCAGGGGAAAAAAAAAAAAAGCATCCAACAACCACTGCTATTACCAAGACGGAGTTTTCAAATTCTTCAGTCCCAGGTGACACCTGCCCATAGCTACAGGTGCCTGTAGACCAGAGCCCTCCTGCACTCCCCAACTCTGCCTTATCGCAGCCCCAAATGAAGAAAGCAGGGGTGGTCAGCCAGGTATTTCAGGGCTGGTTTTTATCGCGTATGGACTGTAGCGTAACCACAGCTTGGGAAAGCATTAAAGGCAACCTACCCAGACAGGCACAAACTCCTCCGCTTGCACCTCTGCCGTGCGGCTGGGCGCGCGGTCACCACTTTCTCCATTTATACATGCAACGTTCAAATATTTCTTCTGGAAAACGAGCAGACGTGCACCTTTGCCCGGTCCGTTTGAAGTTTCTACCTGCAGGCCAAGATGCGCTTTGCCAAGGACCAGGCTTAAGCCACCCAAAGAGCAGGAGACAGATCCGGCAGGAATAATTAAGGCTTGGCCACGGGAAGCTGACTGAAAGGGAGCAGAGAAGATGCATGTTGACATAAACCCAGAGAGAGGCCCAAAGCAGCGAGCGGGATTACAAGCGCTGCTTGCTTTCACCATGGACTTTGTAGTCTTGGAGAGCCTTAAAAGGAGGGTTTTCAGGACATTACAACCCGAGCAGAATACCAAAAGAAACGGCATGCCGCGTGAGGTTATACGATCTTCTGGTTTACCAGCAGATTTTTTGCCAACCCTCCAAAACCTTTCATGGCAAATCCAGGGCGATTACAACGGGCGTCCGCTCTCCGCTGGGAGACTTCCAAACCTCTGGACCTGCGGAGACCGACGGGCAAGCTTTGCGAGCGCTGCCGCCTGGCCTGCCTCGCTTTTAAATTTCACGAGCCCTGAAACGAACGGCTAACTCAGGCAGATTAGGAAAAACGTATCCTTTTGCTGGAGCGCTTTGTCGGCTCAATAAAACCTGAAACAAAGGGCTCCCGGGGTATTTTACTTTCCACCGGAGGTGTCGCCTGCGAGGTTTGCAGGGTGCATCAGCAAACTCAGAGCTAGGCACGTCTTGCCGTCTCTGACTCGCACGCGCTGGGAGGAGCCCACCGTAATCGGAAAAGAGTCTGCAAAACTTACCAGCAGAAAAAATAAATAAATAAATAAAAACCACGCTATTAAGTTTGGAAGATCCTTCGGGAACGCCAAAGGAGCTGGCAAGCTCACCGAAGCACGCGCCTGAATGGCACACAGCCAAAAGATAAAGCCTTTAGCTTTTCCTTAGATGCTCCCTGGAAAAAGGGGTACAACTGCAACCCAGCATTTTGGGAACCCCGGCACCCAAACACACGTTCCTCAATGGGGAAAGCAGCGGCGGACTGACGTGCAGCCTGCTAGACCAACCACCCTTGCGAATATTGAAAGACCTACTACCCACGGCCAGCCCGCTCTGCAGATGTTTTAAACCCCGTGCTGGCCCAGGGCTGTCCTTTTCCCCAAGCTATTTCCCAAGCGGGAGAGGAACGGGTCCAATCTCCGAAGAAAGACCCTGTGATCCCCCCCCCCCCCCCCCCATTTCCTCCGGCGGCGGGGAGAGGGCAGCAGATACTAATTTCTATTTAAATTGTTTCATGTCCTGCAAAAATTTTAATATCGAGTGTAATGCACCATTGAGCAAAAAACGGTCAGAGCTAGCTCGATGAAATGCCCAAGAGTTCAGCACGCATCACTTAAAATAGCTCCCGATCCAGCAACCACACCGAAAGCGGGCCAGAGGCTTCCCCATCACAGATATTTCAGTAGGTGACGGGATAAAAAAAATAAATAGCGCAGTGAGGCAAAACGCAGCATTTTTACATATCATGGCTAGTTGCACCCAGGTGCAATGCAGGGCTGTGTTTTTAATATCACTGCTATTAACGCTTTTCAAATTTTCAGTGTGTGGCTTATTACAAGCTGTAATTACGCTTGCTTCTACAAGGCTTTGGGCGCTGCTTCTAAAGGAAAGAGCGTCTCATAGCTCCGAGATATTTTATCTAATGAAAAACAAAAAACCAAGCGCTCGTGTTGGTTTTAGTACACTCAGAGGAAGACGGGTGGAGATTTTTCCCTTCGCGAAGACACGTCCAGGAAATTACATCCCGTCCAACCCTTCCCCCCTCTTTTTGTCAGCAAATCCTCTAAACCCACAAAATGCCAGGAATTAAATGCTAAGGTTGGCAATCTGTCATTGACATATGTTCTGGTGATTTCTTTTTTTTCTTTTTCCACCCAGTCCCGAGGTAAGGCCGCCGTTTCAGCCTGTAGCGATGGAGTTTCTTAGCACCGCTCGGTTATTTGCCAGGTTTTCATCCTCCCCCTTCCTTTTTTTCCCCCTTGCCCTCCTCTAATCAACGATGTGATTCACCCCGCTGTCCTCCAAGCCAATTTTCCAGGAGCCCTTGGGAAGAACAAAACAACCACTCGGAGGTGTGCTCTGAAGCAACATCACCAGCTTCCTGCACCACGCCGGACGGCCCCGGGATACGCTGCCACGACGAAAATATCGTCCCTTCCCTTTGGGAAACCCTCGGCGCGAGCTGCCCAAACGTTACTTACGGTTTGGAGCACTGCTTTATTTATTGCTGAAATTCTCCCCGTTCGGAGGAGAAAGGGACTTGGTAAGTTAGGAGGAACGTTCCCAGGGAACAGGAGAAACGAGGCGGGGACACGAGACCATTGGCAACGCTAGAAACATTCATGGCTTTTCTGTAAAAATTGCAAATCGGAGCACTCTCCAACCCACCTTAATCTGGTAGTCTGCCAAGCTACAGGTGGGCTCTAAAAGAGGGAGAGGATATTCCAGATCTGGAGACGGGAGGAAAGCAAGACTTCTGGGAAGATGAAATACTTAAGGTAGATATATTTACGCAACATGTGGGAAGTGTGAACAGATGCTGCCTAGGAGGCCTCTCTCACATCAGCGTCTCCACAACACAAGGGCTGGTGGGTTTTTCCCCCCCTCCTTTTTTTTTTCCCCCACCCCCTTAATTTACTTTTGCTAGAGGAAATAGGGACTTCTAAGGACTTCTGAAGAGCAGTGGCACGTACAATTGCCCCCACCGAGACCACCCCTGGTCACAGATGTTCCCTACATCTGCGAACGCAGCCTGGACGCTGAGGCTCTCCAACCCAGCGGCCCCGCAATTTTGCCTACAGCAGAGATTTGCAAATCAACGGCAGGGAGGTTTCTACCTGCCCAAATCCCCTGGCATAGGAAAGGCGCTGCCAAGGCACTCCAACTTCCAGGGAGTTCAGTAAAATATAACCCTCTTGGCCGGAGCCAGGAATAAAATCTATTCCATTTAATGTGATTTCAGCTATATCTGAAGAGTTAACAGCCAAAGAGCTACGTATCGATTATGCCACTTCCATTCTGATGAAAAAGACTTAGAAATAGCACCCTGTATCCAATAGTTTCCTCGATGCCATTAAGCTGTGCTATCAAAGGTTTTCTAATACCCTGTTTATTTTTATTATAAGGTAGCATACTCCTAGGTATCTTTTCCCAGCCCCACGGCCTCTCGGGCATTTATCGGCCTGTGAAACAAATGCAGACATACAATTATACGCCCATGCATGTACCCATACATCCTCGTTCCTTCGCATCCCCCCCTTACGTATTGTTAGGGTACAAATGCAGAGAGACCGAACTGATTTTGGTGGCTCGACCAGAGAAAACGCGCAGCTAGAGAACCTAATAAGCTTCCCTCTCCTCCTAATGGGTCGCGTGATTTAGCTGTCTGCCCTGAGGGCTTGTAGGTAGATAGGGGAGAGTCTTCAAATTGCCTCCCTAACTCATTAAAAATATCCATCAGGGGAGCGCTCCTCTGAAGCTGAGTGAGCATCGTCTACATTAAAGCAATCGAAAGTGCTTCCCGCCGAGGTCCGCTTGTCATCTGTCCTCACGCGTGGCCAACGCAGGCCCGCTTGCTCCTTGTAACGTAGCTCTTGCACCGGGAAAATATTTCTTTCCATCTTACGTCACTGCAGAAAGGCCAAGGGGAAAAATAACCATGCCAGGAAGGTCATAAATCAGACTGTTTTACTCACTGCAGACGTATCCCAATTTCTAACTGAAAAATTAAAGTAACGTGTTGTCCTTCCACACACCCATAGGCTCACTGTAAATAGCAAACGTGCGGGGCAGAGCTACAGACAGGAAGACGAGAAAACCCCCAAAAGACAGGCAAATTCACAGCTGGGCTCCAGGTTTTACCTTCTTGACTGCAAAGCAGCGTTTTTTGATAGCCCGACGTTTCCTTGTACTTAATACAACTCCTCAGAGCAACAAGTAGCAAAGGTAAAAGCAAAACCCAAGAAACCTGTAACTAGGTTCGTTCAGACGAGGAAGGGACAAGGGTCAGTAAAGAGGACTGTCCGCTGCCCTCACCAGCCTCCGGACCACGCGATGCCCTGAATCTTAGTTCACTGTTGCCTCGTCAATGCTTTCCAGCTCCACTGAATTGGGCCCAAAAACTACACTCATGACAAAATTACAGAAATATGAAAACACGGCCTAACAATTCCTGCTAGGACCGTGACAGCACCTAGGCAGCTGCAGAGGAGGAACCCAATGAGCCCAGCTCTGTACGGAGAGGAAGGAGCCCTTCCCTGAACGGGTCTTGAGCTCAACAGACAGATAAAACTTCCTCTCATTCGGTCCTCGTCCTCTGCAGTGCCTCACCATCGTCCAAGCATAAAAGGAGAAAGCAGCTAACAGATAACATTTATTACCTTTTTAATCCTGTTTCAGCTTCAAAAGAAATCCAAGTGCAACATAATTCTTCAGAATCGCCTTACTGCACCTCCTGCAAGGAAATTTGAAAATTGTAATGCAAACTTCAGCAGTGTATTCTAGGTGAGTTTTCCATTTTCCCCTATAGAAGGCTATTTGCTCCAGTGACAGGATGAAGCCGATTTGCATTTTCTGCTCACTGGGTGGCATTTTCCAGAGCCTCTCTGCCCATTTTTAGAGAAGAAAGCTGGAGAACTGGAGGGCAAAGCAATAGAGGGGAGAAATGCTTGAATTTCATCACGTCTGACTGGTTCATCAGCCTGATTGCAAGGTGCACAGGCAGAGCTGCCTAAATTAAGAAAACCCAGGGGAAAAAAAAAAAAAATCTACGCTTCCTAGATCTAGTGCCAAATTAGTCTGCAAACAGCTTATCATGACTAACGCTAGCCTCAAGTATTCTGTCTTCACTAGCCCTGTAAGCAGCTCTAACCTTTTTATGCTGAACCTCTAGTTCAGAAATCATATAAATTCAAAAAAAGTTGGGGTTTTTTAGGTTTCTCTTGGTACCGTGCAAGCAAAAGTCTTCAGTGCGTTAGGGATAATAGGAGCTACAATCCTATTCACCATGGCATTGACTTAGTCCAAGCCGCGACTCGCAAGACAAGAGGCTTTGATCCAGCTCTCCTCTGCGTGGCTTCTCCCATCTTCTGCAAGAAGCCACTGTCGCGCCAAACTGGAAGCACAGCACCTACGTCCGTTTCCAAACAAGCCTTTGGAAAAGCCATGGAGAAGCTCTTACGAGAAAATTCCACCTCTATGTTTTTCCACCCTCAGCCAACACGGCACGCGAATAATCCTCAATCCGGCACTTAAAATTTGAGCACTTTGGCTAGTTTTCTGCTCTCTGTAGCACATGCTCGTCTCCCTCTAATGCACGACCTCAGAGCTACAGAGCAAGTCAAAGCAGAGAGCAAACAGAGCTGGGCAAGACCAAGAAGTTACCAGTGAATCGAACTTACTCTTTAATGCTGTGTTAAAAAAAAAAACTTCCAAAACCCGCATAGCTTTTGATATTGGTTTGGTGCAAGAATATCAGCCTAGTTTACGGTCACCTGAGCACTCTGTCCCCCTCCAAACATCCCAGTGTTTCTTTTGAGTTAACGCGGCTTTGGCTTGGAAGAAAGAATAACGCGGGCTCCCAAGCACCAAAGGCAAAGAGCATTGAACTGTCGACGTCCAACTGGTGAATTTTCAACCATGAAACCAGGGAGCGGCAAGTTCTGCTGCCCCTGCTGATGTATGGGCACCTGCCCATACACCTGCCTTCCTGCACAGCAACTCTCTGGTGAACCGTGGGGTGATGCAGGTTGGAAGCAACTTCCTGAGGGCGCTTGGCCCAAACCCCCCCCCTCTCCCCAGTGCGGGTCCTGCGAGGTCCAAGGAGATGCCACCACCTGCAGAGCCTGACCGGAGGATGCTTCTCGTGGCTCCCTGGAAAAACCGAGGCGAGAGTCACAAAATACAACGGGACGGTTCATCAAGCATCAAACCGGAACGACAGCGGTCTCCCGTTTCTTGGATTTAATAGCGAGGCTTTAGCAGTGACCAGAGACTGTGCCAAAAATGGTACTTGAAAGGAAAAAAACCCCACGATTCCCCCATGCTGTTATCACAACAGCGTTCCTCATTGAGAGACCGATGTCATTACAATTATTCTGGCAGAAAACCACCGTTAACAGAAAAGAACCAGGCTCACAAGCCTTACATTTTATCTGCGTATCTGTAATTTCAGATTTCACTTCACTGTGAAGGTGCCGATTCATGAAGATATCCCAGAGTGTGATAACTTCGACTATTAGCTTAAATATAAGTATGAATTTAGAGTCCCAAGGCCAGTCTCTTTTAGGAACACACAAACACACACACACACAGACCCACGCTGAAGCGCTACCCCGTTCCAGGGCCGAAACCAAAACGCTGATTTGCTTAACGTCCAAAATTAATTATAAACATTTGCCTCACTTAGCCGAAATCTGTTTGGTGAAACAGTCAAGAGTTGGATGAAGACGCCAGCACGTCCAGCCCATTTCTCGGACATAAGAAGTTAACGCCTTGTCACATTGCAGGTGACAGGCTCTCCTTATTCCCTTTTGCATGCTATGAACTGCTGATTTTCTTTAGTGCTTTTGCCGGGAGACCTATCTATACGCTCGCCAACATGCAGCGCTGCAGAAACCAAACCCGTTGTCTGCAAGGACGGGACAGCTCTCTCAGTAGAAGGCCACAGATACGCTGATTTTAGGGTTTCACCTCCTACCAGTACAGGAAACTCATTAATATGGTCAGCAGAGCAGACGTCTGCATACTAACAGGTAAGCGGATATGTCACTCATACATACTGATACACATATTTAAAAATATATATATTTAATATCTATATTTTTATATATGTATTTATTTTTTTATATATGTATCTTTATGTGTATACACACACACATGCACACACACTCTTAGCAGGCTGCTGGAAGAGCTTTTTTTTGTTGTTGTTGGTAAATATTTGGCCTGGCCTCCTACATCCCAGGCACTGCATACAAGCTAAAAAAAAAACACTCCTAAAGCTTTCCCTAGGAGAAATAAAAGGAAATTTCACTCTGCTGCATTCCACTGCGTTTCTCCAAATGGGATCACTCTGCAAGACTGGAGGAGCAAACCCCTAAGGCTACCAAAGTAGGGCTTTTGGCTTTCTGCCTCTGCATAACGTTTGGCACATCAGGATAACTCTCTTTTCCTCCCAGCCTTTGGCTCTCTTGTCTACCTCGATACTTTCAGTGATGCTTGCAGAGATTTGCACCAGGCACAGACTGCCTTCTCCGCATGTGAGGGAGCAACCAGCTGAAATCACGGTTGCCCTCAGCAGGTCCAACACAATCATTGGAGATGGTTCAAAAAAAAAAAAAACTGACCCAAGCATATTCCCTGGAAAAACATGAAACAATTTAATAAGGTTTTTCCAAACCTAAAATTTAGCCAAGGTAAACCTCCCAGCATAACCCTGATTGTGAGTCCTAGCGCTGACTTTTAACACCAGTATTTCTGGCCTTTTGCGTCCATAGCACACATTCCTCCTTCCAAATACATCCTCAGTTCAAGACAAAGTGGGAAAAAGGTACCGTAGCTACCTTTGCGATTCTTGTTTAAGGAGAAAAAAAAAATGCACTTCTCATGCTTTTTTTGCAAGAAGCAAGTTGTTAAAGACAAAAAAAAAACCACAATATTTCTGTAAAGCATTCAGCTTGTTTTTTCCCCTATCTTTCTGATAAATTAAAAAGTTCTCCCAAAATTTTCCTCCTAGCAATTACAGCAGTAGCTTCTAGTCAAGATGCTCTGCTACAAAAAAAAACCTTGTCAAGATCCTTATTTTTAATCACATTTACCCGCTCCATGCAAGTGGCACAGAGAGGTCACGCCAGAAGACTTGAGCCCGAGGGCTGAAGAGAAGGAGGTCAGGGAAGGTCTGACGGGTACCGTTCTCAAGCAGAGAGCTACAGGATTTCCTGCCTCCTATCCTGTCCAAGTCCTGTCCTCCGTCTCCCCATGCCCTTTGCGAGTCCAAACCTTTCCTTCTGGGCAGCGGAGAATTGCACCCAAAGCATGGAAAGCCCTGCTAGGTCCCGGAGAACAACAGCGGTAGATGGTTGGGCTACTTAAAGGCTGGCACGTTTTCTCTTACCCGTGGCAAAACTATATAAATGTGCACACGACTGGACAGTTTGAATCAGGGTAGACTGATAGCCACACAAGGGGAAAAAAATATTCCTTTTTTCTTTCCTCGTGCTAACTTATAAGTCATAAAAAATAATAAATTCAGACTTATGTCCTGATAAACAAAACTGCAGCGGAGCATGGCATAATTTCTCCTTCTTTGCTGCCGTCTACCTCAGTTCTCTTAATTTATGCCATATTTAATCTACGTGTAGGAAGCCCACATTTGTTTCTAATAACAGGAGGAAAGTAATGAGACGTCAAGGAACAGTTTCCTTAGGCCAGAGACTTCAAAGGTGAGTCTGGCAGCTTGTCCCACATTTATTGTTTGCGTCAACGTTAAGATTTTTCCAAGGAGCAACTGCCCATTTAAAATAATTATAAGCTGCAACTTAAACCTCAACTGCACATCAACGTAGGATAAAACACTTACACCATCATCCGAATTTCAGCGTCAGCCTTATATCAGAGAACATGTTGATCCAGATGTTGGATTAAAACAATAAGTACAAGCTGAAAATGAGCATATGATTCTTTCAGCTAAGGGCGAGTGGTCACGCTGCTTAATGCAATAGCAACGTTAAATGAAAGCACAGACTACATCAGCTCAATGTAGGAGCTGCAACGACAGCTTCTTCTGGTATGTCTGTCAGCTATATCTCAGAGCTAGAGACAAGAGACTCCAGTAAAAAGTAATTCCACCCAGGAATTATTTTTCCCTGATTATTCTTTTGACTGGACTTAGGAATTGCAGCCCAGTTGGGAAGAATATCTATTAAAAACAAAACAAAACAAAACAAAAAATAACCTGCTTAGTGCATTATGCTTGTTTTTTTTCATCCCAGAGCTCTCCCGGGCTGGACGTTCCTGCAGAACCTCAGCGCTCATTGACAGCTGAAGCCTTGCTGCTGCTGAAGGCAACCCAAAAGCTTGCCCAAGGTGTTCCAGAAGAGCCGGCTGCTGCAGCCAGCGTCCTCCCCGCCACGCGTCTGGCACTGCCACACGACCCTCGTTCTGCAAAAGGGCGTCACGCAAGCAAACATCAGGTTCAAGGTTCAAGACTAAGAAGTGAGAAGCACTTGCGTGCGCGCAGTGCAACCCCTGCAAGTTTGGGCGCACGCCGAGACAGCCCACTTTGTTGAACAGGCAGACAAATTGGGTAGCAAAGGCTCGCTCCTTAAACAAAGGGTGCACCTTCTAATTAATGCCACTATACACATGTGTGCGCGCACATTTCTAAGCGCGCACACTCTTCATTGTTTTATCATCTTTCAGCACACCCTCCGAGTCAGCAGACAGAGGGAAATTTGT